CAGCTCCCCAGCTACTCCGCGCACTACAGTTATATACTACACCGTCGCCAGTTCGCAGCTACTACCCACTCGCCAGTTCTCCTCTTCCCATTTCCCAGCTACTCTCCATACTAAAGTTGTACTACCCAGTCGCCAGTTCTCATCTTCCCAGTCCCCAGCTACTCTGCGTACTAAAGTTGTACTACCAGGTCGCCAGTTCTCATCTTCCAGCTCCCCACCTACTCCGCATACTAAGGTTGTACTACACAGTCGCCAGTTCTCAGCTACTACCCACTCACCAGTTCTCATCTTCCCACTCCCCAGCTACTCTGCGTACTACTGTTGTACTACCAAGTCGCCACTTCTCATCTTCCAGCTCCCCCGCGACTCCGCGCACTACTAAAGTTGCACTACACAGTCGCCAGTTCTCAGCTACTACCCACTCACCAGTTCTCATCTTCCCACTCCCCAGCTACTCTGCGTACTACAATTGTACTACCCAGTCGCCACTTGTCATCTTCCAGCTCCCCCGCTACTCCGCGCACTACTAACGTTGTACTACAACATCGCCAGTTCTCAGCTACTCCGCGTACTAAAGTTGTACTACGCAGTCGCCAGTTCTCAGCTTCCAGCTCCACAGATTGCTCCGCGTACTAAAGTTGTACTACAAAGTCACCAGTTCTCAGCTTCCAGTTCCCCAGCAGCTCCGCGTACTACCGTTGTACTACCAAGTCGCCAGTGCTCATCTTCCAGCTCCCCAGATACTCCACGCCCTCCAGTTGTACTACCCACTCGCCAGTTCTCATCTTCCCGCTCGCCAGCTACTCCGCGCACTACTCTCGCACTACCACGTCGCCAGTTCTCCGTTTCCAGCTCCCCAGCTACTCTGCGTACTAGAGTTGCGTACCAAATCGCACTCTCGCCTGTGTTTCGCGCACTCGACACGCACGATCTCCGCAGAGGGTTGCGCGGGCAGCCGGCAAATCACACTCTCGCCTGCATTTCGCGCACTCGACACGCACGATCTCCGCAGAGGCTTGCGCGGGCAGCCGGCAAATCGCACTCTCGCGTGCATTTCGCGCACTCGACACGCACGATCTCCGCAGAGGGTTGCGCGCGGACCGGACAAATCGCACTCTCGCCTGCATTTCGCGCACTCCACACGCACGATCTCCGCAGAGGGTTGCACTTTCGGTTGACGCTGTTCGTCCCACACTCCGCCTTTAAGAGAGAATTTATAAAGTGGGGAAATGTTTTTTCATTAGGACATCTCCCGTGCTAGTTTTCCATATTTACCATACTCACACTTGCCCTTGCATAGTCATTGCATGCTTGCATACTCACACTTGCATACTTTGACCCTCGCAATACTTCGCACTTGGATGCTTTCGCCCTGGCATACTTCGCACTTGGATGCTTTCGCTCTTCCAGTGTGTGTGTGTGTGTGTCAGTGTGAGTGTCGAAGTGTAAGTGTGTCAGTGTGAGTGTCGAAGTGTAAGTGTCGAAGTGTCAGTGTTCAAAGGATTTTCCGGAAGAACCCTTCGCAATGCTTTCGGGAAAAAGATGAGATGGCCAGTCTTGGCTCGTTGCCTGGGCGTTGGAACACCAAAAGAACCTTCAAGGAAAATCAAGCTTGGTGCTAGTGATAATGTGATACGTATGTCTTCACATGTCTTCACATCAAATCTAGCTTGATCAATTTCAAACCATTCGCCAACGAGTTGTCCAGTGTTTTTTCTCCTGTTTTGATAGGTGCACCTCCGCTCTGCCCTCCTTAGAAGTAAGTTCTGGGGCCACGGCTGCGGAACAACATCCTTTCTCTTCTTCCTGGTGTGGGAAACAACGCATCCGCCCACTGAACCCTCACCGATCCACGCGTTAGCTCACGTGTTCACGCGTTCTCGCTGCGTTCACGGGCGGCGTGCCGGAAGGACCGGCGAGTTCAGGCGCACTAACATGGACAATGACCACAACAACGTCTTTCTCAGTGTGAAGATTTGGACCTTTCATGACCTTTCATGACCTCGGTTTCTGTGTGCGGCCAAAGTGTTTCTTCAAAGTCGGGTCTCTGAAAGAAACGAACAAGATCTTTATTGCCCCTCTGTTGCCGGCCTGAAAGTCGGGTTGTGTTTCTTCCCCCTCTTCAAGTTCATTGCTAAATGTGTTTCTACCTCCAGCAACGTGCGGGACTCCAGTTTCCACCCGGACGGTGAAGTTGCCACGGCCACGGCCGGTTTGCTCGGGCCTTGGGCTTACCACGGGCCTCTTTGAAGCGGTGAATGAAGCAAATGCGATGGATCCACGGTGTGCAATTGTGAAGCTTCTGCGGAAGATTGGAAGCATCTCTGAAATCGAGCCCTAAAACTGGATGATGGGCAGAAAACCCATCTCATCTTTCATGGCTGGAGGCACCTCATCTTTCAGAGCCGGATGTTCATCTCTGTTTGGGGTGCATGTGCTCCAGCACCTAAGAAAACACAGGACACTATAGGTCTGACTTCCTTATCTCGCACCGCAAGCTAGCACTTCTCTGATCAGAACCAGAGGACCCCGACCCAGAAGAGATAGAACAAATGATGGAAGAATGATACGTGCAACCCCAAGCACCACCAATCATCGCAAGGACCTAGCACGCATGAGGTCATCGCCCCACCCAGCTAACCTCTCCCACGGTCATCCTGCGAAGAAGCCCAGACACCCCTGGATGCGCTCCCAGGCCCAACACCCATCCCACCCTCCCACAGGCCCAACACCCAGCTCACCTCGTCCCCTTTGATCATCTTCATCGCCAGGTCGGCTGCGGACCCGGCGGCCGAGACGCCTCCGGCCGCCGCCTGCCCCATGGCGCCTGCGGGGTCGGTACCAGAATGCACCGAAGTGCAAGTTGGGCACCACTCTCCGGTCTTGGACAGGGAAATCGACAGGCGTCTTCCACATCCATAGATATCTTTCTGTAAAAACTAGATAGGCGACCTACCCCATGTACGGAACAATTATTCCATGTTGCATGAGCACCTGAAAACACCCCAATGTAGAGCTGGGTCAGCACCCTTTATGGTGGCCAAGACCTTCGGCTGGATCAGAGTCTCACACTACTTGTATGGCACTTCGAAATGTGCAATTCTATTATTATCTCTTACCTCTTGTTCACTATCAAGTGATACTAAGAAAAGCTGTTGTTTCTTTCTTCTTACACTCAAGGAGCTATAAACCTAGAACTTGATGAATCTTAAAGCGATGTCATTAGGAAAAACAACAAGGAGAGTGACAAACACATAAAATATACAGCAACAATCACAAGAGAACCAATCATAAGCTGGATCAATCGGAATAGTTATGTGTGTTTGTGTGTCTATCTGATTATCTATGTTTTGTCATCTTAATTTCTGGTCTTTGCTATGTGTACTCTTCTTTGTCACCATTTGTATGAAACAATGAAAGACCAGTCACCAGAAATTGACAACAGTACAAGTAATTCTACATATTTATATATATATATATATATACATAGCCAGAATATTATATTGTGCTTCATGATGAAAAAGTAATTGACATGTTTACCTACTCAAGATTACAAGCATTGACATAACACCTCCCGCGATTTTGCAAAAGTGCCCTCTCCGCTGCCCGCCTTCTTTGTCGGCACACCAGATGAGGATCCGACGATTTCTGAAAGGCCAGATGAAGGTAGGCAGCCTTTGGGGGTTGGTAAGGAACAAACCGCTCAGTCTAAGACTGATTCAGCCTGGAAAATGCCTACATCTTCCGAGAATTTCTGGGGGATTGCAGGCTGCAGAAATCTGGTCTCCATCTCAACATCCCCTTGGAATAGCTAAAGCCCTCAGACAATGACAACAACTTCTTCCAAAAGTTGAACCAAGGTCATTTATTATTGTGTGAAAATATCCAGATAAAAATTTCTTGCTATGCACTGGTACCCAAACACCCAGCATTGAGTGGAAGCACAAAAGGAACACTTGCGATACTGATCCTGGTTCTGTCCCAACTGATCTGTTTCGTCATGTGTCCTTCAGCCTAACTCACCTGACAGCCAAACCGGCCGTTCTTCGTGCCGATCCGTCCGGGTTTGGGCCATCAAAAAACCATTCTACTAAGGTTCTGGATGCCTTTGAAAGATGAAGATCCGCCTGTCAGCCGATGATGATTGAGTAATACAGTATAACAGGTACATGTACATTCCAACACCGGAAGCCGCGGTTGATACAAAATCATATACATACACTCCCTGGAATCATCAGGAACCAACAATCTGTAGAGGAAAATGGTCATCCAAGGTGCCATCTCATACACGTAACCATGATGATTCCAGGGAGCGCCGAAAAGATTCCAAAGGTGGTGGCCATCTGCATAGCTGCAAGGCATCTTGATGCATCCTGGCTTTGAATCGGGTCTGGTGTTATCCAATTACTGACATAACTAGGACCTAGGACAATGGTCGGGCGTGGCAAGTCTCCGACGTCCACAAGTTCAGAACTGCCAAACATCGTGAACCAGTAACTCAGTGAAAGGAATGCATACTCAAACATGAAAAAAATCAGAATTCACAGAAAAAAGAAAAAACTGTAGTCTCCAAAAACCATGGAGCTACAAAAGTGTTGATGGATCCATCACCATGAGTAACACTTTCTGGTGCCCTATGAAGCCATTGCCTGTTGGAAAAACTCGACTCAGGAAACTTGAGATACACGGTGTGAGATGATCCTACTTATTTCTCTCCTTTAGGTCACAACTTCAGGCGAGGTGCTCCATGAAACCGTTTTGGGACACCGATCTTCAACGCCTCTCGGACCAGCTCGGACCACGTGGTTCCACGCGGACTTCCACGCGGCGGTGTCGCCCTTTTCTTTTCTGGGGCCGACGCTGAAGTCAGGAAGTCATGTTACGTTTTTTGTGGGAATATGTTGAGTGTTGGAGTGGATAGTCTCGTCATTGGGTTGTTTCTGGCCGTCCTCAATTTCAGGGTGGACCGCCTGTCTTGGTCTGCCAGCAATGCAGACCCACTGTATGCATTTTCTATGTTGTGATATGTTCTGCTGCTGTGTGCTGTTGCTGTTGCTGAATTCGTGCGGTTCGCACCCCTCACTTCTCTTCGCCGCCGACAACCTTCGCCCCCTGTCCAGGACGAGCATAGGAGATTCCTGCGCATGGCCGTCTGTACGCTCGGAATGTGTCACAGTCCCTTCGCGCACCTAGAGGGACCATACCAAGATACTGTCAAATCGGATACCGTCCAAATCTATGTCTTAAACCCTGTGAGGGTGAAGGCATTGATTGCCACTTGCAGATCCCAAAACAAACACTGAGGTCTCACCCCTTGGAAGCGAACAATGTGGGACATATTGTGGGAAAAACATGGAAAAGCATCTACACTGTGATCGACGATCGGTCAAGCCAAACAAATTGATGAAATTTATTGAAATTTAACTGGCAAAGGTTTTTGCTGGTCGCACGAAAAATAATGGAACACATCTGCAAAGGGAATATATTTGCTGTCAATTTTTGTAAAGTAAACATATGTTCATGAAATACTATGTTCAAGACCTCTTGTCCGAGCCTTGTTTCTGGATGTCATTGGCCATCCCTTCATTGAAAATGAATGAAAAATAAACAATCGAGAGCCCGCTCAAACCATCAGGCCCACCCACATTCCAAACTGGTCAGGAGGAAAGAACCGTCATCCGAAGATACATGTAGGCAAGCCGGGGTGAAATAAAATCCACCCGCACTGAGGGTGCTGAGGGGCGTGTAGGAGTCGGGGCGCTAACACTGAGCGCGTACAGTTTGAGCTCGGCCTTGTTCGTTTGGGAACGGAACTGATCCTGCATCGCGAGGTGCGTCTGGAGGGCAAGTGCCGGAAAAAAACATGCAAGAACACAATGGTGTGGAGGTGTGCCATATGATCTGGGACAGGACATGAAGTGATACGTTTCCAGTGGAAAAGCCAAGGTGTTGAAAGGAATCATTTGCTTGCTTTCCATGCGGCAGTCTGGGATATTGTATGGCAGGTAGATGATATGTACACGACACTACCGCTACTGCAGCTACATACGCATATTTTAAACAATCCAGGCTTTTTGGAATACCTCTGGGAGTCCCGGTAGCAGAGGTGCCGGAGAAACGGCGCCAACACCTTCAGGCTTTTCAGGACCTTGCCGACTTGCTTCTCCGTGCGGCGCCCGCGCAAGGCGCGCGGAGCTTCCGCAAAGGTTCCTGCCGAGCGCCCGACCCCCCCCAACCCTGCGCACACCTCCGTTGACCAGCTTCGCAAACGCTGCGCCTACTTCCCCTTGGCCCCCGCACTTGTGCGAGGGAAGCCCCCTATAGTCGTAAGCCCCCTGCATTTTTTGTACTGGACACAGAGTCGAACACACCAGCGTTGCCGGCGCGTGCGGGAGAGCTAGCGGCGATGTGCTCAACCTGAGGAAAACAATGGAGCGACGAAAGAAACAGGTGGCAGCGATTTAAATGCAGGCATAAATGCAAGCAAAGAAAGCACGGGGTCGTAGAGGGCGCCGGCGAGGAGATGGCTGGGGTCAGGCCAAGAGTGTTGCAGTGGAGACCGGGGGTGAGGTAGCGGTGGCCGTTGTATAGCAGTGCGAGTGGAGAAAGGGCACTTCCTGTACCAGCCCTCGGGCCGTAGCGATACTTGTTATTCTTCCGATGGCTCTAAAGCGCACGCGGATGATTCACATGGGGCCAGACCCAGACGCATCAAGTAAAACACGCGCTCCTCAAGGCAGGTGCACGCGCACACATTCTCAATGTCAGTTACCAAGTATCGAATGGCTAGGTGTAGCAAAGACGTTAAAGGCGCCCCCGCCGATGTGGGCAACTCGTGTTGGGTTGTCAACCCACAAGCACCAAATACCAAACCACAAACATCGAACCCTGCGGCCAGGGCCCGCTCACGCGCGCCTGGACGCCTTGCAAGGTCGCTGCCACTCCTTGCCGCACGTGGGCCTCTGCCAGGGGGTGTACCCCTGCGCAGCCAGGGACGACGACAACGAAACAACCGCATCTATCTGCTACGGCTCGGCGAAGACATTGTGATCCGGCATCCTGGCTAGAGCCCCCCAAAATTTATGTATCATAGTGTACCTAAAGGTCCAAGGTCTAGGGGCGGGCGGTGGTGGAGATGGTGGTGATGGTGGTGGTGATGGTGGTTGGTGGTGGCGGCGGTGGTGGTGGTGGTGGTTGATGGTGGTGGTGGTGGTGACGGTGATGGTGATGGTGGATGATGGTGGTGGTGATGGTGGATGATGGTGGTGGTGATGATGGTGGCGACGGTGGTGGTGAATGGTGTTTGGTGATGGTGAGAGGCGGGATGTAACGAGCGAGAATCCACCTAGATCAGACAAGGCTTGACATTGTCAACACATTGGTCATCGCGCTCCTTTTATTCCAGCAAAAGAACTATTTGCACCACTCGCTGTGGCACCAGGCTGCTTGTTCCATGCCTTCTTGTATTAGGGCTTCTTGTCGAGCATCAGCTACTTGCCACCAGTCTCCGTCATGGAAGCACTGATCCAAGAGGCTGGTACACCGTCAGGCCCGGCGGTGTTCCTTTCGCATCTCCACACTCCGATGTTGGTGGAGGCTGGACAAGGCCACCTGAGTCGGTTGCGGCAGCAACCACTGCATAGGCGTCTTGGATCACTTTGAATGCATCAGAGCTCCCCCTTGTCTGGATGGGTCACGAGACACATCTTGCGATACGCAGCTTTGGCTGCAGCCGCGTCAGGCTTCTCCAAGTGTAGAAGGCCAAGGGCACACGTGAGATTCATGGCAAGCTGCGGTTGGTCTGAACCAAAGACAAGGAATCGCCCAACGTGAAAAGGCCTGATTTCAGCAAAAGTTTCAATCCAAAGGCCTTCACCTCTGGATGCCTATGGGGTGAGGCTTCAGTGCCTGGCAGATTCCAGTCATAGATCCAGCGAAGGCAAGGTCGTCGCTGCAGCCTCTAAAGAAGATGGCAGCCCTCTACTCCACACACGCAACTTGAACAACAAATAAAGGCCGCGGTGATGACGTCATCACCTAGATGAGTGGCCCTGTTCTGATTCGACACGAGGAGCCTCAAGCTGGCAGTTCTTGCGCAACTCTAATTCGTGTCTCGGACTCTTGAATCTGCAAACCCCCCTGGTGCCTCTAGTATTTCCTTGGAGTTATCCCTACATGTCGGAATCTGAAAAAAAAGTGGTTTATCAAAAGTCTTTGCATGATGGAATGGCCATTCCTGGCGGAGAAAGGTATCTTTCGCGGCCTCATTGCGAAGCATGTAAACCATGTCTAGTTAACATGTATAAAGTGGAGCTGTCTAAAATGTTTGTGATATCAACAAAACCTGACAGGCATCTTGCAGTATCACCATGCAGTGGATCAATGGAAGAAATACTTGGGGGAAATATGAAGTTTGCGGGCATTATTGACCATACATTGGATACAAGCTGCTTTCCCTGAAAATGTACAATTCCCACGGGGTCGAGAAATAGAGTGACTACAATGAAAGTATATATACACTATGATCAATGTCAAGTGGTGTGGGTGTATATCGTTCCGAAGCGCCCCGAAATACTTACAAACAGAATATCCTGATAAGCGCTGCCTGACATGTGCATTGACTGTGTTGACATGTGTTGGCACTTGTTCTGACACCAAGCCTGGTGTGTGTGCGTGTGTTCGGACATGTCATCTAGCATAAAGGCTGGGAACTTTTCTGCAATCTGTTCCGGCACCCTATTTGGCACGCTGTTCTGACGTCAGGCATTTGTGTCTGACATATCTTCTGGCATGTACTGCTGGTGCTCTTGCATCAAACCTGGCATGCGTACTGAAATGCGTTGTTATGCATGGTCCGACTTTCGTTCTGATTTGTTCTGATAACTTGTTCTCTCATGTATGTTGATACTCGTTATGCCATAAGAACTGTGATCTGTTCCGACATACATTCTAACATAATATGTTCCGACATGTTCGTTCTGATGCATGTTCTGACATGTGGTCTGTCAGTATAATGATCCGGAAACCTGTTCCGACATATCTGCCGGCATTTGATCTGATATGTGTTCTGCCCAAAGTCCAGTGTGCACCACTCTTCCGTTCACAGTCCAGCGCAGGCGTTCACTCTGCAAGACGGACCGGAAGGCGAGAAGGCAGGCGCGACAGAGTATAGTGATCCCCAAATTGATAGTGGCACAGTTTCCAATTTTTAGATATTTCTAGTCGGGGTCTACTTTTCTATCTATTTGGGGGTCCAAAACAAGTACCAGCTGTTCCATGGAGGACAGGGTGCCGGTTCTGAACGGAGGAAGTCAGGGTGCCCCTGTCACATCCACTCACTGGATGGGACTAAAAGACATTCCGACATGGAACTGCTGGTAGGAGCAAGGAAGCTACTAGTAACAGGTGCATCGCTAGTAGTAACA